AAGAAAGAAAGAAAGAAAGAAAGAAATCCTCTTATACACACTCCCAACACAGTCAAGCCACCCCAAACACCTTTTGAGTCCTTCTCCCTTCCATTTAGTTACGCTTTCCAGGCTTCACTAATAGAGAAAGGATTTTGATAGACTATTCCAGGGGTCTCCAACCTTGGCAACTTTAAGACTTGTGGACTTCAACTCTGGGAATTGAAGACCCCTGCCCCAGTGGTGGGATTCAAAAAAATTTACTACTGGTTCTGTGGGTGTGGCTTGGTGGGCATGACGTGGCTTGGTGGGTGTGGCAAAGGAAGGTTACTGCAAAACCCCATTTCCTTCCCACCCCACTAACCTGCTTTCCAGCTCCATTCTCCTGGGCAGGGCAACAAAAGAAGACCCAGCCGATCAGCTGGGACTCGGGAGGCAGAGAATAGATGGGGGCAAGGCCAGTCAGAAGGTGATATTTGCCGGTTCTCCAAACTACTTAAAATTTCTGCTACCGGTTCTCCAGAACTGGTCAGAACCTGCTGAATATCACCTCTGATCTCCAACAGGATTGCCATTTGCGATCTTCCCGGCCAGCTTCTAACAAGCAAAGTCAATGGGGGGGAAGCTGGATTTGTGACTGGCTTAACTGCAGTGATTCACTTAACAACTGCAGCAACAACAACAAAAACATTCATAAAATCAAGTATGTCTCACTTAATCGCCCCTGTCGCTTAGCAATAGCAGTTCTGGTCCCAGTTGTGTTTGTAAGTCAAGGATGAACTGTACCATTTTGTGCAGCTTCCGAGGGGGGGGGCATCCTCAGGCTATGCAAGACCAACCCAAGCTCCCCTCATTCCTACACCCGATGCACCATTATGGCCCCCATCCTGACATTTTTAACCATCCCCTGTAGACATTGTGGCGGTACCTGCTTTTTTTCTCCCACTGTCAATCCATCAAATCTTACTCAACCTCTCCCTAAAGTCTCCCTCTTGCTGAGAAAATGGAGGGGGGCTGGTTCATCTTCGGGGATGGGGTGGGTGGGGAACAAGGGCAAATGGGACAACCTTAGAATAAAATGCTGGCCTCACATCTACCTTCCTGCCCCCTTCAAAAGCAGCCAGTAAGGAATATAGTTAGCTAGGGAGCCAATCTTTACAGTACTGATGCCCACGTGTTGTAGCCTGTCAGCTGCCAGCCCCTCCAGCAGCCAAATCAGATGTAGAGGCAGCGTGGGAGTCAAGGTCAGTATCAAGGCAACCTGAGAGCTCCAAGGTGGAAGAGGGAATGGAGCTGTCAGAGATAGAGAAAGAGGCAGAGCCTTGGTCTGGAGGTGGATGAGGAGGAAAAGGAGGAACAGCTGGGTCCAATGCCTGATATGTGGACGTGCAGAAGGCAGAGGAGAGGAGAGCAGTGGAAATCTTTAGGCTGATCCTTGGGATGGAAGAACCCATGAGCTAGCAAAGCTGCACCGTAGCTCTGGGGATAAAAGGCAGGGGGCAAAGATGATTAAGTTTGGCAGATAACTATTCATCTACCTGCTGGCCAGACAAGAGAGAGGAGGGGGAGGGAAGGAGGGAGGGAGACAGAGACAGAGACACTTTTTGCCAAGGCTGCTGGTGCTCCTAATAAAGGAATCATTGAGGAATTGTCATTTTGGGGAGCTGAGTCAGAACACCACATAACAAAAATATAGACTCACATAACAAATCACAGGTATCCAGAGGACCTTGTGGGTGCAGAGCAGAGTATCTACAGGGGGTAAGAGTATATACAGGGCAGGAGGCCAAGTACAGTAAGCAATTTACATAACCCCCATTCATTAGTTTGCTAACACATTGGACAGCCTCTGTCTTTTACCCCAAAACAAGTCGCAGTACAGAGAGTGCAGAACTGGGTAGAACTTAACTACCTCTAGATGATCTTTCATTAAGATTAATTGAATGCAACATTTCGGGATGCTGAGGTGGTGGTGGAATGAGGCAGCTAAGCCAGTTAATTTGCTTCCTGTTTAGTGTTTAGCTGTGGGATGCTGTGTAAACACTGACCAGGAAATCAGAAACCTGTTTTTCCAGGGGCCCCACCTGCCCAGCTGCTATGTCTCCATTTTCAGCGCCTCCATTCTATGATGGAGATGTTTTCTTACCCAACACCTTCAATGTTGCGATGCTCCTGCAGCCAGAAGGCAAAAAAATAATCACCCATCCTGCCTTGTTTGTTCCCCATTCAGAATCTGAGCTGCGGATTTCTCTGTTGTGAATTTTGAAGACAATCCTGGGGCAGGCATACTCTCCTCATCCCAGCTGTCCATTACCGAGGTGAAAAGACTGGGCTCCCGCTTCATTTTGGAGCTCCATTTTGTGGTTTTTCTCTCTGTGTTCAAGCACACTTTGGAGTGTGGACCTGTGTTGTATATACCAATGTCCCTGGACTAGAACCATTCATTCAATACTATATTCAATACTCATCAGTCTGGAACCCACATTACGTATCTGATATTAGCACAGTTGAGAAAGTCCAGAAATATTTCACAAGAAGAGTTCTCCACTCCTCTACTCGTTGTAGAATACCTTATGCCACCAGACTTGAAATTCTAGACCTAGAAACCCTTGAATTACGCCGTCTTCGGTCTGATCTAAGTATGGTATATAAAATCATACATTGCAATGTCCTACCTGACAATGACTACTTCAGCTTCAACCACAACAGTACAAGAGCACACAATAGATACAAACTCAAGGTTAACCGCACCAAACTTGATTGCAGGGAATACGACTTCAGCAACAGAGTGGTCAATGTCTGGAATACTCTACCTGATTCTGTGGTTTCCTCCCCAAACCCCAAAAACTTTAACCTTAGACTGTCTACTATTGACCTCGCCCCTTTCCTAAGAGGTCTATAGGGGGCGTGCATAAGCGCAACAACGTGCCTACCGTCCCTGTCTTATTGTTTCTTTTATTTTTCTTATATGTACCCATTTCATGTATTCATAACTATGTATATACTTATACCTATTATCTTGTAAGCAATTGACAAATCAAAATAAAGAAAATAAAATAAATTTATGCTAAGACTACAAGGTTTTTAGAACTCCTAACCAGCTTTTCCCTCAGAATGTTGGGAACTGTCCCAACGTATACAGTATTGTTGTATCATCTTATATGCTTTGCTATTCTTTTTTACTACTTTTTGCTATTTTGTTTTGGTATGTAAATATATTTTAAAATTAGTATGCTGCCTAGAGGTACGTGCCATGGCATGCATAAGTATTTTAAACAAATCAATTAATTATTCTCCTCAGTTTGCAAAGTCCAAACAGCTGCTCCCTCTGCTGTAGCCATAGCTTCAGAATACAATGACTCACCTCTTCCTAAAGTACAGTATACTGATTAGCATTTGGAGTTTTGTAGCAAAACAATGACTTAACTTAATTAATTCTGGTTATAAACTAGCCAAGGAGGCTGGGTTTGTACAATTTGCTAACCCATCAAGGATACTAAGCAAGCTTTGCATACCATGCAAATATAGTCTATAACAGGTGTGTCCAACCCATGGCCCAGGGGCCACATGTGGCCCTGGACTGCTAGTAATGTGGCCTCACAAGATTGTAAACTTTTAACATTAGTATATGATTTTATATTATAAAACTATATTATATATATTGATATGCAACCCAAGACAATTCCTCTTTATTCAACATAGCCCAGGCAAGCCAAAATGTTGGACACCCATGGTTTCAATTTTTGACTGCTTGGGTTAAGCATATAATGTGAATCACCCCAAAACTGAAAGTCTAGATTCTAGACCAGGGGTGTCAAACTCACATCGTCAAGGAGGCATCACATGACGTATCGGGACTTTTTTCCCCTTCACTGAAATGGGTGTGGGTGTGGCCAGCGCATGATGCATCCAGCTGGCAGGCCAGGAGTTTGACAGCCCTGGTCTAGACATATTTGTCTGGAAGCAAGTCCCTCTGAATTAATTAGCTAGATAATACACCTAATCCAAGTTAATAAAACACAATTACTATTGACAATATGTCATGATACATTTCAACCCATAAGGCATTTTATGTTTTAATTTGGTGGACTGGTTTATATAACACACTAATGTAATGAAGGGTTGCTTCACACCATATTTAATAACAAATTACCTTTCCTATTTTAGTTCATCTACAATGTTGTGCAAACTGATCTAAAGTGTACAATTCTTCTCTTAACTGTGGATGGACAGATAGCACTATAGAAACCTATAAACTGTAAAAAAGTGACTGACAATCAATTTCCAGTGAGACAGCTGCAGGTGTTTATTGTACATCATGCATAAATTGTGCGTGCATCTCATTCCTACTAGAAATAAGGGCCATCGGATCGGATTTACAAAAATCTGGACGGACTACTAGATGAGAGCTTGTTGCTCCAAATCATGGGATCTGGAATTTTGGAGCCTGAATCTTGGTTAATCTGGTTTTCTAGTTTTATAAAGACCAATTGGAGGATGAGGTTATCAGTGACAATTAACCAAAATATCAAAAAAGAACATCTGGTTGTTGAGGAAGTCAGTTCTAAATTATGGATGGTAGAGAATTGTTGTTGGAAAGTGCTGATCTGCTTTGGAGTTTATGTGCAGGATTCTGACTGGCCCAATAGGAACCATTATGGTGGAATCAATAGTTCTCTTCTCTGATCTAGCAAACAGCTTTAAGTAGCATGACCAGTTTTTCTTTACTTACCATCCAGGCAACTTACCACCCAGCAGAAATCCATTTCAAAGGAATCAATAATGGGCAGTAGTAAAAAAAAAATCAGCTGACAGAACAAATGATTCCCCTCCTTCTGTAATGCATAATTAACAACCCAATGCTTTAGCCACATGAACCAAGCATCTGATAATTTCACTAACCAAATGCATAGGAAACTGTCCCTAAATAATAACAAAGAACAGGTGTAAAATAAAAGTGCACTGTATAGATACATTGAATTCAAGGAAAGACAAGAGAGGCACACATGAAACGGCAAGCGTGGTTTTTTTGTGTGATTATAATTAAAATATTTATAGACTGCTTTTACACAAGCTCAAATCAATTGATCAACAATAACTCTCACAAATAAAATATGAAAAAACAGTTCAATAATGTAAGAATTGACTTTCCTTTCTTTCTTCAGCATCTCTGCAAGGGAGGAACAAACTTGTAACACCTCTGAGCTCTGCAAATAATACATTTGTCAATGGAGACCTACATACCCATCTGGAAAACTTGACAAAATCTTATTTTAGAGAGTAATTCATTCTAAATGATGATATGACACTCCATTAAATAATAAGAATGATAATAAAGCCTGACTTCTGTCTATGCCCAGAGACATTTTTCTTTATTTCATAAGCAGCTGGATAGAAACCTGGTATTCAAAATTAATTGAGGTTAATCTTCCAAAAAGCCTGCTTCAAAATCAGCCCTGAATGGAAAAAAGGTGGAAATACATCTTTTTGGTCCTATTGGTCCTATTTAACACCAGTTCATCATTCTCAAATTGCCAATTGGAATTGAAGACACTTGGTGCAGTTTCAATAGACTTTAGACAGTACTTTATAAATGAACAGAAATACCATATTAGTAGCCAGTCTCAAAATGTCTTTTTTAAGATTATCCATCCCTCAGATTAAATTTACACTTGTATTCAAGCATTCAAAACTGGTTTAACTCTGAGTTTAAATTAATCCATGCAAGACATTAAAAAGGTATATTGTTATTATTCAATCTCTTCCCTATGTTGCAGAATTCAAATTTCCTATCATATCTCTGAAGATCTCAAATAAACTGGGTCTATGTCTCCTTTCTCAACTCATTGTCTGACAGCCCAGGAACTAATTATCCTACAGTTTCAGTTTCCTCCTAGACCTCCACAACCTGCAAACCTAGATATAGTTCTACTTAATCATTGCATTCTTTTTAAAGAGTTTGCAGCAATTTGAGGAAGGAAAGTGAACAGAGACCTTCCCAGAAGAGAGCTTCCCATTTTCAGCAGGTATCAAAACACCCACAAGAGTGATTGCAAATAATGGAACACCCAGTTATGGAAAGGCAGCCAGAAACCAAACTTGATGGACTCTTTGCTGCCCAGATTTCCAAATACAAAGAGACAGCCAGCAATTAGAGGGGGCTTATACCCATGCCCTCCACCTCCACCAGTGACTGTTCTTGCCACTATTACACACCAGGTCTATATCCACCATCAAATTCTTCTAGCCAAATTCCAAAAGTCCAGAAGTCCAGCAAGCACCCACCCCAATTCAAGCTTCCCTGTTGCTGCTGTATTTCACGTGGGCCTCCATTTCAGCAATTTTTCTCTTTCAGTTGAGCTGAGCTGGCTAAGATCCTGGTGAGTTTGAAGGTGACTAGTCTCCCATTAGTCTCACAGAAGCCAGTTTTCAGTGCAGTTTGGATAGGAGCAGCTGTCAGACTCCGATCCTTGAGAGATGTTTGTTCAAACAGGTGAATGCAACAAATGAGTCCCTGCTTTCCAAATCTGGATGAAATATGCCAGGTTTCCTGCTACTACGCCAAGTCCAAAGGATGGGAAAGAATGATCCCTCCTCACACTGAAGTCGACTTCGTCCCTAACTGCCTCCTCCATGGTGCAAAGTCCCCAGGACACATGAGGGAGGAAGAATGGCTTAGACATAGTTGCTGGTTGGCACCGATTGAGCTGCTGTGTACTTCGTCGAATAGGGTTTCTCGTGTCTGGGAGGGCAGTTGCAACACAGTAGTGCTCCTCCAATGAGCAGCAGGCCACAGGAGGCCCAGCCAATATAGAGAGAAGCCCCCAAGTCCCGCTTTTGGCTGTCTGGGATCATGGGGTTGTAGAAGTCTCGTATGATGTTGTTTGCCGTCCAGCAGAGTGGAATCAGAAGCATGATGCTGGAGATGAGAAAAATAATTCCAGCGAAGATCATCACCTTGGCTTTGGTAGCTTCATCTTCCACACAGTTAGTGCACTTTCCTCCAATGATGGAGAAGAAGATGCCAATGACAGCCAGAATGATGGCAATGATTACCAGAGCCCGAGCAGCTTGCATGTCCTGTGCCAGTGCCAACATAGACTCGTAGACCTTGCATTGCATCTGTCCCGTGCTCTGGACCACACAGTTCATCCATAGGCCCTCCCAAATAATTTGGGCCACCACAATGTTGTTGCCTATAAAGGCTGTCACCCTCCACATCGGCAACCCACAACAGAGGATGCTACCTAGCCAGCCGATCACCGACAAGGCAATTCCCAAGACTTGCATCCCCATGGAAGCCATGGCGTTCTCCTCTTGCTTCTTGGAGCAGCTACAACCAAGGAGGCAAAAAATTATTTTAAAAAAAAACCCAAACTGGAAAGCTACAACAAGAGACGGTGCAATAATACTGAAATGCGGGTGGCAAATTTGGGGAAGTTATAGGCTGCGGTGGTGGGTGGAGTTTTACAGAAGCCATCCTGTCTGAACAGACAGAGAAGCTCAAACCTGTTCCCCAGGATTCCTTCTCCTCCTCCTCTCCTTCAAAGAGAGGTTGTTATCCTGGCAGAAATGAGTTTCTCCAATCCTGACTCACCAAAAAATCCCAGCCCCAAAAGGAAGTTATAGCATGAGACAAGGAGCAAAGGGTCAGAACAGAAAGTGTTCCCACCTCGTTCTTTGCTGAAATCTTTGTAGGCTGATGTAAATGTTTCATTCTTACTAAGAGCATAGAAATTGCTCAGCAAGTCTAACCCAATGTTCCTTCTGGCAGCTCAATGTCCTACTTCCATCAGTCCACATTCAGATGCTTCAGGAGGTGCAGAAGGAAGTCTTGCATTGATGACATTAAAGGGTCCACTGCTTCTGTCTAAAGAGATTCCAGTCAATGATCCTAACCTAGTAGTCATCAATATCAGTTCTCTTTGCAAATCGTGCTTCTGTTACAGATCACACAATCACAAACTGTAGCAAGGAGGAGGATTTGCTCACCTTTCTCTAGGAGCACAAGGCTATTTACAAATAATTTTTCCCACAATAACTTTTTGAGGTAGATTGGAATGGGTGGAACTGACTCACTTAGTAGTGTTCTTTATGGTCCAGAAGTTACTTGGTTCTCCTTAATTCATGCCTAGCATCTGTTACCCTAGTGTTGGTCTTTAGAACGCTCGAAGTAGAGAATTACTCTCTAGTCTCCACCCAGTATAATGTTGTTCTGCATGGAAGCATTCTTCTCTTCCCACACCCTCCTTTGCAATTCAGATAGGACTGTCCCGCTCCAGGCCCTGCTTCTAGTCCAATTGCTGGGAGGGCATCATAGATGATCACCTCACCCTCAGAGGATGTGATGACCACAGGCAGCTGGGCTACACCCCTGAGAGCGCCAAACTGGTTGAGCAGCAAAGGATGCAACATCCCAAGTCTTATGGAAATAGAGGGGAGGAAACTACAGGCGAGTTTCAGTGCACCACAACATCTCTTCTCTCATAAATATGATCAGGACGATAGTCAGAGTCTTTGTAAGAACCTTTTGTGGGAATTAACTCCAACTTTAGTGCAGTGCAGGAGTCACTGGAGGTTTTAAAGAAAAGATTGGATAACCATTTATCTGAAATGGTCTATGGTTTCCTGCTTGAGCAGGGAGTTGGACTAGAAGACCTCCAAGGTCCCTTCCAACTCTGTTATGAAATGGTGTAGGGTCTCCCGCTTGGGCGGGGGGGTTGGACTAGATGACCTACAAGGTCCCTTCCAATTCTGATTATCTATTAATCTGTTAATGTTTCCAAGCAGATTTCACAAAAGGAACATGGACGCAGTATCTTTACGCATGAATGGTACAAACAAGGTGAAAAGAACAGATTTCTCAACAGCGTGCATGGAAAATTTCAGCAAGAACTGATCAAGCTGATATAACATTGCTGTGTTCTTTTGTCCACATATGCTTCAGGCATTTTGTCTTGGGGAAAAAGTGTGGAGACTAAACTGATATGATCCCATGATATAGCCATCTGTAAGGTCTCTGCTTTTTTTTTTACATGCTGTATGTCATGTGTAGACACACATAAAACAAATAGGGCTTTGATAGCATTGTCCTGGCCATCCTCTTGAGTTGTTTGATTCCACCTTGCAGACATCTGTGTTATCCAAATAACAGCTTTCAAGAGGCCAGTTTTCTTCTATGTGGTGTTCAGAAAGAATCTGTCCCTTTTGCTGAAACACCCAGTCATTTTAAAATTGGATAATAATGTTTACATAATTATGGGGATATCAGGACCTGCATTTCTTTGGGCCAGGAATAACTTCAGATTATCATAGATTACCACATATACTGAAGTACCTACTACAATAGTGGGAGATTTATAGAGTGTAGAATTATGGTGTTCCATGGAAAAAATAATAGTTTAGGAATCAAATTAGGTAAAGCAGATAAGTGGCACAGGATTTGCGGTGGTGGGCTGGAGGGCAGATATTCACTATCCCGTACACTAAGATTGGTTTCCCAGTCAGATTTTGAGGCTGTATTTAATATTGTTGATGAGTTATAACATCAGAAAATCAGCAGAAGTTTCTTGTCAGACATAACTTGTATTTTGATCCTCAACTTCCAGTCTTCTCCAGCAATCAGGGATGATCTTCATGGTCTTTTCCAATCTTTCTTTCTACCAGTCTTTGATTTTAGCCAAAAGAGTAAGAAGTGATATACCAACCATTTTCATGTTATCAAATGGGGTGAAAGTAACTTTAAACCAAGAGTATTTGACAGGGTGCCCACAAATAAAATCTACTGCCAGGTTTGCTGTCCTCTAGTTAAAAAAAGCAAAATAAAGCTTATTATTTAATTACAATTAAATGAAACATCAGTATTTAGGAAAATTTGCTGGTGTCTAATAATATGTTTATTTCTAAGAATACCTCTAGGTATTCATATAACCCACTAAGCATTCCAGGGAAATAAAAATGATTGGATAGTAGCTGCAACCCAGACCATTGCTTGAAAATGTGTCCACCAATGTGGGAAAAAGTTGAAGGCCACATTCACACAACATACTTAATCGGGTAGTTAAAGACTAGTGGCTGAATTCCTGCAACATACAAAGCTTGGTTGGCATTAACTTTTTCTGCGTACAAGCTTAGCATGTTTTGTGAAGTCAGCCCATTTGATAAGTTTAGAATTCAGTACCTGAACCCATCCTCGTGGGTTATGCCATAAACTTGCAGACTGAGAGTTTGTATCTTCCCTATATTGGCTGTTTTCCCCTTTATGGATGTCATTCTTGTAACCAAGCAAGCCTCCCAGTCACCCTCTCAGCTTCTATAAAGCAGTGTGCAACTGCTGTCAAAATTTGAAGTGGGTCTTCCTATTCAAGAAAACTGCCTACTCCAACTTAAACCATTCTTTCAACTTTATAGCCTGGAGTCCCAAATAAACATGACCTTTTACAGGTAAGGATGAGCAGAGGATGACTAAGGTCAAATGCATCTTGACATCATTTACGTGGTGAGCTTGACCATCGTAGCTTCTTCCAAGCATCTAGGCCAGCGTATCTCAACCTCAGCAGCTTAAACTACATGGATTTCAGCACTCAGAATTTCCCAACCAACATACCTGCTGAAAAATTCTGGGAGTTGAAGTCCAAAGTGTTAAAGTTGCTGAGGTTGAGAAATGTTGATCTAGATAACTGAGCATCCTTACCCACAGTGAGAAGAGTTTGACTCTTGGATCATCAATGTTCTCAGGTGTAAATAATAGAGGACCACAATGGTTTGAGTCTTCTTCATTCTTTTTCGCCAAATGTTTGCATTTGGTGAATTAAAATGAAGAAGACTCAAACCGTTGTGCAACCATTCAGAATAGCCCAAGAGTTGAGGGACAGCTAGGAAGGAAATTTAGCTCCTTATGCATTGTATGAGGTAGCAGTCAATAGCTCAGACTAGGGAGTGGAGGAGATGTCTATTTAAGTTCAGCTCATGAGTTTGCAGGGGTGCTATAAATGAATATTCCGGCTGGATAATTCTAGGAGTTGAAGTCCATATATCTTAAAGCTGCCAAGCTTGAAGATTAGTGTTCTATATCAATGCAATATTTGTTGTAAATATTTATTCAATTTCTATAGCCACTCATCTTAATGAATGACTCTGGCCAGCTTACAATTCCAAAACTATAAAAACAAAACAAAAACATTTAAAAACAATTTTAAAAAACCAAAATAAATATATGCAACCCGGTAGTAAAGCCAAGAAATGGGGCCCTTAACACATTCAGCATCCCAAGCTCAAGTACACAGTCGAGTTTTTTAAGCCTTGTGAAAGGCCAGTAGGGTTGGGGCCATTTTAATCTCCTACAGCAGGATATTCCACAGAGCAGGGGCAGAAAACACCTGTCTTCTAGTGCCTGCCAGCTAGCACTCTTCGGCTGATAAGATCGGCAGCATGCCCAATCTGCAACTAGGAGAAGACTATGGTTGTCTGTGCTAGGAAAAGGCTAACTGTTTTCTCAGCAACTTTGTTATTGAACCCTCCTCCCATCTGCGCATGAGAGAGGAATTAAACTTGGCCAGGGTTGCTGCAGGTGCAGCTCTGCTAATTAGGAAGCCCAGCTTGATTTCCTGGAAAACGTATGGCTGTGCCATTCCAGCTCTCCAAAATGAATAAGCCATATTGTAATCCTTCAGATATTTCTCTCCAACTGACATCTTTACTATAAGCCAGGTTTGCCTGGAGTTATAATTCCGCAACATTTAGAAACTTGCATATGCTCCACTTGTGTGCACATTGCCAAGAAAACTGTAGGGCCATCATGCAGAATTGAGCTGGTCTTGGGCAAACTTTAACTTTCATCTGCTTTTCAGAATCAAAACACAGCAATATGTTGTTGCTGGAGGGGAATCATCCCTTATCTTTGACCCCCAAGGATTACTAAACTAAACAGGAAGCCGGAAGGCCACATTCTTTTAAAACAGATCCAAAGCTCTTATCAAGCATAGGCTTGAAAGGGACTTTAGAGGTATTTTAGTCAAATTCCTCATACAGGGCAAGAGTCCCCAGATTTGGGTATCAAGAAATTTGGAAATCAAAGCACTTCTCAACCTTAGAAAGATCTGGAAGTTTTAAAGGAGATATTGGATAACCATGTCTGAAATGGTGTAGGGTTTCCTACCTAAGCAGGGGGTTGGACGAGAAGACCTCCAAGGTCCCTTCCAATTTTGCTATTCTATTCTATTCTATTCTATTCTATTCTATTCTATTCTATTCTATTCTATTCTATTCTATTCTATTCTATTCTACTCCATTCCATTCCATTCTAATGGCAAGAACAATTTAGTGAGAGTGGAATCAGTTACCGAAAGAGCTGGTGGACATACAAGTAGTCCTTGACTTAATGACCACACTTGGGTCCAGAACCTCTGTTGCTAAGCAATGTGGTCATTATGTGAGTTGGAATTGATTTTATGACCTTTTCTGCCTCAGCTATTAAGGGAATCCAGCTGCCCCCATTGACTATCCTTTTTAAAGTTGCCAAGGTCAAG